AAATTTTGAGCGATAACCTTTAAATATAAACTTATTGATATTATTTATACTCCCATCGGTCATGTATTATTATCATTTCGATACAATTCAATTGACATAATTTAATTTTTATATTTCTATCTTGAACAATTTCTAAAATCCACGTTTTTTAAATTTACGCTGTTATAAGTATTTTAATACATTATTTATACACAACACGTCAGAATTTTAATCGAAATATATTACTAGTATATTTTTAATCATTTATTTAGTGAACGGCGATAAAATTTAAAAACTTGTAGACTAAATATGTAAGATAAAAACTACAAATACCAACAAATATACTAAATTGTTTATAATAAAACTGATTTGTTTGTGTACAATATTTATTTAAGTTCCAAATCAAGTTTTTATTTTTATTTTGCTTAAAAATTCGTTTGAAATTTTATGTGCGAGAACAAAATAATCGAATAGTAATTTAAAATATTAGGTACCTATTTAACAAGAGTTTAATTTACCTGTTGAAAACAGTTACAATTACATTTTTAAGCAAATTGAATTGAATTCACTTAGAGTATGCACTAAATCTGTGGGTGTAAATATTACGATGTAATGTATGTACACGTAATGTGCATTCCTCTGCAAAAATATTTAACTTTTTAGTGCTTTTAGAATTTGCTATATAATTTCCTATAGTCTCCCGTGTTCTAGAGAAGCGGATAAACATAAACTCCGCACGCGTTACACCCGTCTCCGCGCGTGGGCGTATCAAAACTAATTCAACAATTTATTTACAAATGGTAATCTCGACGAGTTTTTTCATTATTAATTTAAATTTAAAACTTTGACGCGAAATAACCTTTTAAAATATATCGGCACATTACACGTAGGCCAGGTTAGGTTAGGTGTAATACTCAAACGTGGGTATATTAACTAAACTAAATATAGTTGTTTGTTTAAAACGTTCTAACTTAGTTATATAGTAGTTAATTTCGTAATTAACTTACTAATTTAACTAGCTTAAGTGACCATTGTTATGATAACTTAGGTTTTTCAGTAACTTCAAAGTTAATATGGAAAGTTAAAATCAACGATAGTTAAATAAAGTAATTCGTCTAATATACTGATATATATAATATAATTAATGATTATTGTGCTGTAGACACCGTCATACTGTACACACGATTTTAAACAAAGATAAACCAATAATTATTTGAAAGTATCTGCACAATTACACACTATACTTATAAGTTGTGACCCAGTAGGTAATCATAAACAATATAAATTAACTTTTTTTCACCATGTTAAGTTCATATTGTAGCTCCATAGAACTTTTAGTTATATGTATATTAAATTAATTAAAGCACACGGGTACGGAATAAGTATAAACACGCATTATTTCGATATAGTACATACATACATACATACATACATATATATATATATATATATACTGTATTCTGCGGTTAATATTATCTTCAATAGAGCAGGGTAGAGTCAAACTCAATTTTAGGGGTGGACGGTGAGGCAATATTAAAAATAAATAATTACGACTATTTTTTATTTCATTTTAACACATCAAATAAGGTTTCGATAATTCGAGAACGAGCAATAATACATTATTTATAATAATCATAAAATAAAAAAAAAGTAAATAAAAATGTTATACTACATTATAGCATTATGGCGAGGCAATCAATAAATAAAGCCGTGATTTCCCGCATCGATAAAAACTCGTATGACAGGCCTCATGCACGCGTGATATCATTTTATTTTTCAAATTTTATCGCATAATATAATATATAAGCATTTGGACGTATAGAACGTCTTTTACGCGTTTTATATTACGTTAGATACACGTATTAAATGTTAAAAATCTGTGCTAGCGAGAGGGCAGTGGGCATGGGGCACACACGACCCGCAGAGAGAATTTCGATTAAGCGATATATATTTTATAATAATAATATAACAATATTATATTCATCATTAGCTGGTAAACCGATTGCCACCCACCATCATCATCCACTTGATAGTATTTACTTTGCGATAGGTGGATTTTAAATTACAGCGGACACAATTAATTAAACAAATAATAACCAGCGTTTCACTTTTTTTTTTTGTATATATACATATCGAAACAAGTAAACCTACTTTTACGAATAAATATACAAACGGAAGATTATTATTTGAAACGGCACAGCCTCCGGGCGTTTAATAAAAGTGTGCGTTTATACAGTTTATTATATAATCGTAATAATAATATTTTATCGCAAAATGTTCGAATATATAAAAATATGATATCAGTAGCGTATCTAAATTTTTTGGGGGGAGGGGGGTTAGAGGAGTTTGAAAACAAAATGTAACAAATTAAATTATACTTAATTTTATGTGGTTTTTATTATAATAATACATTTTATTACTTCTTTTACAATTTTTTTACGACTAGAGTAGAAGTTTAAACATGCAAATATAATTATCTTTCTTAAGACTATATAAATAATGTATATTAATTTTTTGTTTAAACGTTTTGATAGGTTCATTTACTAAAATGTTTTTCTTTAATTCTTTGATCATTTCACCGAAGGTATAAAACGCTAATACAAATCACAACACTGTAACATCGGTGCGATCGGTATAATCACTACAGACATTACTATTAAAAACGTTATCAAAATTAAAAAATTTATAAGTCTAAAATTGAAAATTGTAAGATATTGATATAGCAATTGGTGTTATTATTAAATTATTTCTATTGATGTATTATGAAATGCATAGTTTTAAAAACACACGTAGTATTTTTTATACACATATTTTATATTAATAACCGTACTAGAACATTAAACAGCTATTTAATTGATTAACAATTTTCAAGGGAGAAATAAAAATCCCATAACACCCCCCTGGATATATATGATATCACTATAGAGCTGCGGTACAATTTATATATATTCAATTTGTACACAGGCGGACGGTTGGACCTGCGTTTGATCCGTTTTTATCGTTTTGCATGCAATTTACTGATTTAATTTGGCCCGCACGAAATCTGTAGGGTACATAGTCATAATAATAATAATTATAAAACAAACATAGCCGAGCGCGATGAAAATAATTAATAACGGTATACAAAATAATGTAATACATAATAATATAATAACAACTACCCTTAATTTTGACGCAAGCGCGCGTTCATAACTTTTCGGAAAAGCTACGGCACTCTGCCGTCGACCCCTGCGCGGAATCTTATGCGCGAAGCTTGCAAAGGCAATTGGTTATTATTTAATAAAAACGTCCAGACTACTACAACTGTTTATATACGACACGCCGTTAAAATGACAGAGACGCAATTCGCGTAAAACTACGTTGTAAAATGAACGCAAATTCGTTTGTGCTATATGTTGTAGATCCGGAGCTAATTGTGTTGCAGTTTGGTGACTGTTGTAGTTGTATATAAAATATCTTACACAGGATTATTCGACAAATATGCTTACACACCGCCCTTCTAACAGCCACCTCTATTTTTCGTTTAACAATGCACTTATTAAAGTTCTAGTTATTGAAATATTCAAGTGCATTATATTAATAAGACCGTTCTTTAAAAGTATTTGGATTTTTACAACCACTATTCAACACTCATTCTGCAGCCATTGTCGACACAAATATATTTTTTCAAATGAGAATGATCATTCTTGTGAAATGTTTACAATGTTAACTTTTTTCGAAAATGTTTATGTATCTAAATCGAAATTCGAACTAATAGTTTTTGAGTTATTGCATAAGTAACGCGTGTATTAAAAACAATAGACCCATGATAATGGATTTTTAAAGATGAGGGTGCTAAGATGATTTATAAATTTTACTGATTAATGTTAATCTATTAATAATTAATTCCGATTTACTAAGTACTATATAATATATTAATTTCATATTTTTGTAAAACTATTTTTAAAGAATAATATAATAGATATTAGCCTTAATATTTAAAATTATGTTTTAAATCTTAATAACTAATTGAAAACATAGTCCTTAAGTAAGTATTCATACTAAAACATCAGAATTTGGATAGATTCATTATAGAAACGAAAGTATGAGAGATATTATCCCGTTCACCTACGCCGAAAAAAAAAACAATAATTTAAAAAAAATTATTATGTGTCTAAAGCACTCAGGTAATTAAATTGAAATCTGTTATTTTAATTAACTTTATAAAATCAGATGTACCTACGCACAGTTTATTATTCCTTAGGAGAGCATACGTAGGTATATACTTACACCCTTTATACATTTACCGCAGTGTACTGGTATACAATATTATAGTTTAAGTTCTCCGAAAGTATTTACGTACAACCTTGATCTTTGATCTGGAATTTAATGTACAAATTCTACGCTTTGAGCGTGTCAGAATTGTCAAACTTTTATTATTTCGCGATAAACACGAAATATGAGAAGAAGAAAACCACGCCGAATACGCTCACGATAGGTACCTACGTTCAAGCATTTTGATTATATGAATTCAAATTAAATATTTATAGTCGTAATTAATAAACTTTGTGCATTTTTATTTTTTCCAAAGCATTTCAAAAACTAATTTACTCAAAACGTTTAAAATATGTAGGTACAGTAACATGAAATTATTTGGCTTTTGAGTTTTCCACGACAAGTGATAGATAACGGACACGCGGTTCAAAGTGTAAATTGGGTTTAATTTTGTGTATAATATTATCGACAAAAGTTAAAATGTGTATTAGTGAAATAAAGTTAGCTCCCCTCTGATACGTTCGAGCGATTTAAATTTACTCATTTTCCCAAATTGTAAGTTGAATCAGTTAAAAATAAAACATATACAACCAATTGACATTTTTGAAATAACTATCGAACTTCAAACACTATACCTACAGCACTTGAAAATATTCGTACACCTCATAATAGACGTTACCTAATATGAATATTAATTAATGCAGTAATTTGAGTAAGTTGTACCTTCAGGTAAGCATATATAGACCTATGT